CAGGGCAGAGCTGAGGGGGGCGGGAATCCAAACGAGACGCATCCTGCCCTGTATCGTCCATCACACACCCGCCACTCAAAATGTCTAAATCCTGATCTGTTTTTCCATTGAGTTTTACCAGACAGGGTTTATATGAATACAGCCAGAATAGAATTTCTTTGGTAAAAGGAGAGGGCTTTGCAAAATATCGTATTGGCATTCAATTTGATGAACCAGCAGTTCATCGATTGGTGACCGAGCAGAGAACAGCAGAGAACTGGTACAGTCGTGTTTTTGTGATTGGAGGGTGTTGTGTCAAACTCTTATTCAGATACTACAATACACAGCCAATAAACAGGCGATACATAAGAATGACAAAAATATTGCATTTATTCTAAGGGATTTTATAAAACTTCCAGGCTTTACCACGGTTTCTTGTCCAGTCATATCTACCAGTTGACTCTAGGTGATATTTGTTCATTTGACTACAGACAATGTTTATATTAAATCCTACTCTGGTTAAAATCCAGATGGAATGAACACAACAATCTATCCTTGGTATGTATTTCAGCGTGCGGCTCTTGATTTAACATGTTTGGCTTTGGAATGGGCGCCACAGTGGCTGAGTGGATGGCACTCTCGCTTCTCAGCAAGAAAGTTCTGGGTTTGATTCCCGGTCGGAACAGGGCCTTTCTGAGTGGAGTTTGCATGTTCTCCCCGTGTCTGCGTAGGTTTCCTCCGGGTACTCCGGTTTCCCCTACCACTAAAAAACATGTGCAATAGTTCAGGTTGATTTAGTGTGTGTTTGTGAGTGCGAATGTGGGACAACAGATGCAAATTAGCCCATGGCTACAATCCGGACGGATGTTTTCATTGACATGTACAGTCCCAACCAAATAAACAATAAATAATAGCAGTCACAAGTCAAAATGAATGATAAAGCCAGTGTTGGGTGTAACGTATTACACTAACAAAACTACTTTTTCTGGGGAAAAGCAAAGTAACGTGTTTCTTTTTTGATCCGTAGCAACTTTACTTTTTATTTACCACAGGCAGCTTTGACCATCTGCAGGTGCTGTCGCGTCAGTCTTGCGCGCAGTATGTTCTCATTCCACATGGTATGTGACACATGGTATGTGAAGCAAGAGGCTGCTAGCGATGGCTGTTCATCACGAAGTGTCATACTACCCAACACTCTGCGGGTAAAGTGCGACACAGCCGCCCCAGTGAGGCTGACTTTCTTTCTTTTGATGAGGAGGAAGATGCAACGTCCTTTAGCGCAGATGCTGAGTTACTCGAGTAAATGAGATCAGCCTCAGAGTTAGTGTTCATGAAATACAACAACCCAATGTTACATGCTCTGTGGTGTTTTTGATCATAAAGAGCATGAAAGAAATATCTGTTAAGATCTTCATAGAAGAACTTCCAATACACATTTGAGAACAGTTCTGCTCAAAGTCGAGTATAATAACAGAAACACAAAGTAACGCGAAAGCAAAGTAAAGAAGTTTCTTTCTTTAGAGAGTCACGATGGGATCAGTCTGGGAGTCTCTGCTTAGACTGCTGCCCCTCTAACCCAGCAACAGATAAAGTGGAAGAAAAGGGATGCATGTTCTAAATTGCATGTGCTATATTCAGTGTTGGAAGTTACTTTTAAAAAGTAACTTTTCTTTTTACTTGGCTGCGTCTCCGTGTAAACTGGCCTAACTCCTCTTGACGTGGAGAAGCAGCGACCTTACTCCGAGCTCCTTCCTTTTGACCGAGCTTCTCACCCTATCTCTAAGGAAGTTCCCAGCCACTCTGCAAAGAAAAATATACATTTACATGAAAACATAAATACCAAAATCTAATACTAATAAACGATGAGGTCTGCTCTCTGCAGATACGTAGAACCAGCTGGATGTCCTCGGGCATGATGGTCTCCAACTTGGCATCATAGAGGGGGAGCTCTGAGGGACAGGGACCTGAAGTTCTGATCTCCCTGGCCAAATGCTAGAAAAGCAGCTCGTGGATTTCTGGTTGCGGTGGATCTCCCTCAGAGCTGTGGTGCCTGTAGCGGTGAGGCTTCTTACTTCATTGGTGGCTGGGGCTCTTCTGCAGTGAGCCTGGTGAAAAAGCTGCTTCCTTGGACCCTTCTCTGTGGATTTAATAATAATAATGTATCGGTTATATATAGCGCTTTTTGGACACTTAAAGATGTTTCACATGTCATTATTCATTCACTCCATACATGGTGGTGATAAACTACTACTGTAGCCACAGCTGCCCTGGGTGCACACTGACAGAAGCGAGGCAACCAGTATGTGCCATCAGCCCCTCTGGCCACCACCAACCATTCACACACACACCAGACGCCTTCTAGGCAATGTTGCTGAAGCGTCTTGCCTCAGGACACAACAGCAGTTTTAGCGCTTTACAGCCGCAGCCGCCCCACTGTGGCACTTGGTGTCTTGCCAAGGACACAATGACAACAGACACCAGTGGGAGTCGGTGGAGAAAGTCTTGTGGTGGGCTCAAAACCCTAAATGTATTTTTCCAAAATTAGCCTTCCTCCAGCAGTACACACTGCATAATCAGTAAAACTCCATGACATAGAGGTCATCAGTAACTTCACATGAGAGACTTTTGTTCCAAACCCACTCATGACTTGTGTCCGTGTCTCTCTGAGAAAGAATAGTAAACTGTTGCTCATTCAGGCTAGTGGAAACTGGAGACAGTCACAGCCTTTCCCGTACCCCCCAAAGAGGACCGATGGAATAGCGCTGCCATATCACTCTGGTCAGGTATTCACCAGGCGCTGGGTAACCCGTGCTCCTTGATAAAAAATATAAAAGGTCTATTAAAACATTTCTCTATCTAGAAGCCTTAAAAGGGGACTATCCTTATTAAAAAATATCTTTTATCTGATAAAGCACATTAAAAACATGTATTTCCCACCTTTGCAATGTGTTTTTGTGTTATAGATAAGTAATAAATCAGTAAAATAACTTTTTAATATCAACGCCTCTGATTGGCCAGAAAAATATGACTACCCGCTTTACTGTTTATGGCATTGCTCCTGCTGCCGCTTTGACACATATAAACCTTAAAATGGGTGTATTTTGTACGGCCCCAGGACGCAGCAATGAAAGTTGCCTAAAGAAGAGCGTAAACAGCAGTCCCTATGATCTTTGACTTATTCAGAGAAGGGCAAACAAACTGAGAGAAGACACCAGCGCCAGTTCCATGAAATTAGTTCTATCAAGCTCCAACTAAAACCAATTTTACGAGTTTCAACCCAGTTGAACCATGAATCCATGTTTCACTCTTACTACGTTTAGTAAAAGATATAGATATGACACATACCATCATGTTTTAGACTTTAGAACCACAGACACACGTTCAGTATAAGACTTTAGAACCACAGATACATGTTCAGTATAAGACTTCAGAACCACAGACACACGTTTAGTATAAGACTTCAGAACCACAGACACACGTTCAGTATAAGACTTCAGAACCACAGACACACGTTCAGTATAAGACTTCAGAACCACAGACACACGTTCAGTATAAGACTTCAGAACCACAGACACACGTTCAGTATAAGACTTCAGAACCACAGACACACGTTCAGTATAAGACTTCAGAACCACAGACACACGTTCAGTATAAGACTTTAGAACCACAGACACATGTTCAGAATAAGACTTCAGAACCACAGACACACGTTCAGTATAAGACCATATATGTTTCCATTTGATTGAAGACACTCTCCATTTCTCTCAAACTCAACATCTGGAGCTGCGGCATAGAGTTGAGGCTTTTCTTTCGGTGTTGCGGGTATTGACGTGTTAGCTGATGTTTGCTTGATAGCTGATGTTTGCTTGATAGCTGATGTCCGGGATCTTTCATTTCACGGTTGTCACTTTTACGCTTTTCTCTGCACTACGATGTCCGTGATATCCATTCCTTCGTCCCTAGCGCTACCTTCGCTAACACTTAAGCTATTTACACTCACTCGGGTGGCACCATCGAGCTCAAACTGACCGCATCCGCAAACCGGGTCGAGACGGGTCGGACCCGGTCGGACCATAGATCCATGACTCCAGCCCGTGGAAACGGCCCTAATGTCTGCAAATGTTCATTTCTTGCAGATTGCTCCTCATCTGTACCGAGTCAGAGTCCTCAAAATCATAATTACTGTCATAACAAGTACGCAAGGGCTCATAAATAAAAGCCCCTGACTTGTGTTGTCCATCACTGAATAACAAATATCTGTTTAAAACGTCCGTATACAACGTTATGGCTTACAAATGCATATCAACAAAGTCCAATGACCCCTACGTGTACGTCACTTCAGGTCTCGGCAATTTTTCCGCGAATGTCTTTTTGCATGATAATTATTGATAGAAACCGCTAAGGGTGAAACTATCTGTCAAAATGAGTTTTATTTAACACAAAAAAGACCACAATATACCAACAAAATAAGATTAGGTCCCTTTGAAGTCACCATATATATTTTCAACCAAGCTTTATTTAGTTGAATGTGATCAATAAATAATGGTAATGTATGTTTGAATGTCGAATACTAAAATTATATTTTTAGTGGCACCTCTCTAAGAGACAGTACACTAAATGAATTACCTCTACTCTTTTTCCATTCACAATAGAGAGAATAGCGCATATTGAGTGCACATCTGCTTCCACCTGTTGACGGCTCATAATTGCGCCGCTTAAGCTCTGACAGGTTCAACACTGAAGATCACAGGCACAGCTTTTAATGGGCAGGTGGCTGTGGTTAGCTGCCGTGAGATGGTGTTTGACCAACCATTCGGGTTCATTTTTGTGTCTTGTGGTCGCGTTGTCACTGCTTTTGGCCTGACAGGAGCAGAGAGGTGGGGTGGGGCAGGGTCATGCACACAACATCCATCTTAAGCCCTGACAGGTGCCTCGGCCTCTCTGCACTGGCACAAGCAGGCGTTGTTTTGTAATTAGGAGCGTGTTAGAAGCAGGAACCTCCAGCTCCCCTCTGTGCACAGATGTGGGTGAGGCATAAGCAGATTACACCGCTCTAATGACGCTGCAGCCGCTACAAGGCACATATCAACTGCTCTGAGGCTTATCAGCATGTATTGGAATGACTGTAATGTACATTTAAAGAGAACATATTGTGCAAAACCACTTTTAAGAGTGTTACATTTGTTTATTTCCTCGCTGTTTGCTGTTTTTCTTTCTTAACCTGTGAATTACAACAAAACATCTGCTGCTCTGTTGATATGAAAGTGTTCACTTTTACAGTGGTATAGCATAATACAAACACTGACACAACACTCTGTGTAGACAAGCAGGTGCTGCCATCTGGCCAAGTTAGAAATGTACCTGTATGTAAACCCAATACATATAGATGTGTTCCCACATGCTGTAATGTTATTGGTTTGTGCTTTTCTTTCAGACGGCGTTGCACTGGGCAGCAAAACACGGCAACAAAGACATGGCGACTTTAGTGGCTGAAGCTGGTGCCGACGTCAACACCAAATCAGTAAGAACTCAACGTGATTTTTTTGTTGACAAACTGCATAAATATCTAGACAAAACAAGAGCATTTTAGAAAGACCTACACTTTTTATTTTTTGCTGTCCACTTGTAAATATGTAACTGTACATCTTTCTTCTTTTGTGTTCCAGCATGTGAGTACCAGCTTCTCCTTTGCTGACGTAATGCTCCCAGCATCCAGCTGTGCAAATGTATTACAGCAGCACGTGTTTGAGGCCTGCGCTAATAAATCATGTCATGTCATCTTAATTGTTTCCCAAAAACAGTGTGCCGCCATTGAAAACCAAAGCAATTTTCACTGAATTGGCTGAAAAATTATGTTTTTTATTCATTATGTGGTGTTGTCTTAACCTTCACTAATTTGTATCTTTTTTGCACTCTTGTTTTGACTGGCTGTTCTGGGGCCTGGGAAACTCAAGGGGGTATGTACTCCCTCTATTCTTTGTAAGTGTGGTGTAGAAGCAATAGTTTTATTTGGATGTCACCTGTTTACTTAAGACTTGCTGATTGTCGCCATTGACAATGAGATTGTTAATGAGTTTGAATATAAAGTAATTCTGTATCAATAAATATCGAACATCATTTTGTGTTGTCCAAACAGGGATACACACCTTTGCACATAGCAGCGTTACACGGGCATCAGCACATACTGGACCTGCTCGTTGGGACATATGGTAAAAAAGACACAGCATCATGAATGAATATCTTATTCCACAAATGCTACTGCTAATAAGACATTTGTTTACACATCCAAATATGATAAAACGAATTATAAACATTGTTTATTATTTATGTAATTTTTTAGAGTTTTTTTTGTAATTTTGTACATTATTTATGTGATGTTAGGAGAATTGTACATGAATAGTGTTAATGTGCATGCATTTATTGTGATTCACCCTTAACATTTTTAATTTTACAAAAGCCTTTTATAATTTTAATTTTAATGTGTCGTGTTCCCAGACTTGGTAGGGACGACGACCTTGCAAAGTTTGCAGACTTCATTTGTGCTGCCGCACTCATTCCTCCTCGTTAGAAAGCCGTTGTTGTTGTTTTTTTTGCATTTCCCAGAACGCCTTGGCCTACTTCCCCCAGAATGCTGAGCGCTTCTGGCTTATTATCGAACATTCTATCGATCCCTTTTTCCAATGATATCAATGTCGTTATTGTTATTGTTCTATCGCCCAGCCCTAAATTTCGGTCAAAATAATAAGATTGTAAATAATTGAAATATTGATCTGGTACCCTCAAACAGAGATTTATAAAAATGCAATTCTTTTTTCCACAATTGTGTGAATCATATATTTGTTTTGCTCACAAGTTTAATTTGATCTTCATCCCTATGCCAATGGTTATTTTTAGCTGTTCTGTTTTAAACCTTTGTGCCAACATTCAATCTGTGGCTCTGTTTGACTTGCTTGTTTTACACAATCCACTTTCCTGTTGTAAACTCAGCTTGCGGGTTTATTTACATGTGCTTTTTCTGCGGCTTACACTATCTCCAAAGCAGCTTAGTGCATTCCTCACTCCAGTGTCAAGTTTCATGTTTGCTTTTTTCTCATCAGGGGCCAAAGAAAACCTGAGGGACTACAGCGGCCATCTTGCTTTGCACTATCTCAACATCAAGGAACCGGAAGTGTCTGAGGAGGAATGTGACATACGTGAGTACATCTCCACTCAGAGGTGCCAATGGAAACAGATATTTAAGATACTATAGCTGCCTTTTGCTTCTGCCTCCATTATCAAGATTTTACAGTTGGATAAGATAGATCTTTATTTGACCCACAACACTAGGGAGACCTTTGAAGATACTGTGAAATCTGACCTCAATTTTTTTTAACTTGGAACAAACATATATTCATTTATAATATTCGAGGAATCAGATTAGATTAAAATAACTGAAGGCCACAGTGACATTCGGTGCTAAACATGCTTCTAATTTTAGTTGTAATTCTTACTGTTACCAGTAGCTTGCAGTGGTAGCTCCGATTTGATTTGGCTGTCAGACTACACACTATATGTACGAAAAAAATCCTTTTCTAACTGGTTTTCAATGGGTTGCATTTTATGGGTTGCAAAGGGGGGAGTATCGTGGATAGAGTGGCATATTATCCTAAAGTCATGTAAGAAGTTAATTATAATGGTGTAAAACTAAGTAGTTCCTCTTCTGTTGTTTACTTCTGCAGAGTTCGCAGTGACACAGGCCCGTGAGCGCCACAGAAACAGGAAGCTGGCGTCTCTGTTTTCCTCCCGGAAGAAGTGGGGCTCCGCAGAAGAGCTCGCCCCGATCGAGGAGGAGCGATCGGGGACGCATCAACTGCCTCTGCCTCCCTTCAGGCCACGCAAGTTCTCCCGCTGACATGGCATTCATTGTACATACTGTACATAGACTGAAAGGGACAAATGGAAGGACTCAAAGCTTAAATGCACTAAACAATGTGTCACTTTCATTCCAATCCATCAGCTCAAGTAATTTTGGATGAAAAATAATAAAACAAAAACACCGTATAAATCAATATTGTTATAGTAAAGTAAAAAAAGTGTTTTGGTAATTAGTCCAAGAAGCATAATATTGTTAGTATATTATATTAACTATATCTAGTTCAGTGTCTCCCAAAGTGGGGTCCACAGAGGGTATTGCAGGGGGGCCGCGGAGGTCATAAAAGAGAGGTCATAAAAAAAAAAAAGTTTCTTCATTGTATGTTAAATTAATAATATTTTGTTTGTAATATTAAAAAATAAAATACTTGTTTCTGATGTTAAATGATTTTGCTATGCTAAGATCATTTATTTCCCCCAAATGAAATAACGAGAAGCGCCTATATTTTTAACGTTATCTTCTTGGTTATAATTTTGGGGGGCTGCGCAGACCCGTCAGAATTTTAAGGGGGCCGCGGTGTTACTGACTTTGGCAATGGCTGATCTAGTTTGTTCTGGATTTCATTTTTGATAAATTATGTGTTTTATCAATGAGGACATGTATATCATGTCTATGTACGATGATCAGGGACAAAGATTTTCCATAGAAACTTTGAGTGCACAAATAAACAGTATAAACAGCAGCTCTATTAATCCAACAATATTTGGAGGTTAAATATTTATTGTCAAAGTAAATGCCCATTATTTTTTTTATCAGTATTTTGTATTTGTTGCATTGGTGCTTTTTGGGTCATACTTTATGGCAAACAGTTTAATTGTAACCAAAGTCTAAATATGTCTAATGTTAATTACACACAGGAACAGGACATATTAATCACATTTAATTTTTAAAGTATTTTGTTTCTGCATGAGCTGCATATACTTGTCAGACAGTAAGAGTGTTAATCTTTCTCGTACATGTACAAATGACTCAATTACGAGAAACTGTCGCGATGTAGAATTGATGTGAATGTAAATGCACAAAATCAGATATTGTCCAAAGACTGGTGATAAACATACAGTGTGAAGTACAATTCATACAAATGTATCAGTATATAAACCTATGTCTAAGTATTATTCAATTAAGAATTTAGCTGTACACCGGAAATCAGTCTAAATATGGCTATAATGACCATTATTTCTATGGATGTGGTGGTTGTGATTCAGGTTTAGTTACATGTTCTGTGAAGTAGCCTGTTACATCCTCATAAATGCATACAGCTTTAATAATGAAGTGTACTCTGCAAAAATGTAAATATTTAGCATTGGTCTGAATTGTTATTTTCCCTGACGTAGATCAAGCATTAGAACTACGACAGTAGGAGAATCAAACACATGATTAAGTGATCATAAAATGATCATAATTATTCAGTTCAGTGTAATTTAAGAAGGTGGAGGCCTTGTTTTTGCAGGGTAGGTCTGCAGTTTTATTACCCCCATTTGAAAACCATTCTGTTACAAGTACTTTTACGCTTATTTTGTTGTGTTTCACTCTTGGGTCATTTGTTTTACTCTTTTGTGGGATGATTTATGGTCCCTGTTGTTGGTCTCTCTGATAATTGAGTTCATTGGACCCGTCTAAAGTGACACCGTTACTGGCTTTTTCAGGTTTTAAGTTTTTTATAGTAGTAAATTCATGTAAAGATAATGTAATCCTTTGTTTACACACGCACACACACACACATACATTGCCTTTAAGTGGTAGCACAATATTTATTTAATGATGATATTTGATAATAAAAACATTCTTTAAACTTAACTCTGTTTCACGTTTTCTTATGTTGTAATTAGTGGCAGTTTGAAAAATGATATACACATTAATAGGAATTTGAGCCAAAATGATCTGTATAATGATGGAAATATAGACGTGACAAGATAGATATTCTAAGGATACAACGGAATTTATACAATTCATTTATGAACTGCCAGTTAATGTGTTTAACAAGACAATACAGTACAATTAAACATACTACATGTTTAACAGACTTCAGGCAGAGCTCATCTGATGCCATTAGGTAGCGTTTGTTTTAAGTGGACAACAGATGTTGTCATGTACGTTCAGTGTCGAAAATCAGACTCTCAGACGGGATCTTTGCACACCAGAGCAACCTGGAAGTCTATTCACAACTGGCAGTAAAATCAGGGAGAAAAATAAACAGAAACTTAAAATTTGCGTCGTCATGAAAGAGCCAAACCCAGGCGTCGTAGTTGATATGTCAAACCTGTTGGACGGTCAGTTATAAACGCCACTTCACATGGTCATAAAACTGTAGGTACAGCAGGATCTGTGTCTATACAGACGTCCACTAATGTACTGTAAGTCTGTTTAGTAACCATATAGGCCAGGCATGTTCAAACAAAGGCCTCTGTGGCAGAGGGCCACATAAAATGGGTCACATCAAGTAGTCTTTGACATCATAAACACAAGTTAGCAGTGTCATCCAGCCAACTTCAGCTCTGCCAACATAGGCAGTTTATACCTCGTTGTGAAGCTCGGGAACCAATACAGACATGTCATACCTCATTTTAAAGCTCTGAACAGCCCAAATCCAGTCAATCGGCCGCTGGACAATTTTGTTGAATTAAAGGGGCCCTCTTGCTCTGGGACACGCCTGGTATCAGCCTAATGTGCTTTTTTGCTAGCTTATTTGTAGTCAGTTACTTTGCACCCATGAAAAGTTATTACTTATTTTGATTCATTTTAAATCCACAAATTCAAACTGTTGCCTCTTGCTGCTCAAACTCAGCTTCTCCTCCTTCTTCTTAAACTTATGATAATTCTTTTAAGCCGCCTTTGATGTGTCCTTAAAGTACCTGACTCTGGCTTCCACAGATGGGCTAAATATGGCCGCGCTCACCCTTCCATAGGATTTGGAGGCCTAATTCCTGATTATCTGAAAAGGCTAGCACTTGCTTTTGCTTCTTAGATATCAGACGACACAGGAGGAGGACAACGTGGCACAGGAGTGGCCTTTGCTGGTTTTGTCCTGTGTTTTTTTGAAGCTTTTTTGAAGGGGATGTCGGGGGATAAGAGGGAGTTTCTGTAATAGATACTTATCAGGCTGCCCCCAAGCCTCTCACACAAAGTCCCCCTCTGAAGAGATTAGACCCGGGGAGGGCACATTAACTATAATCCCGTGCTTTTGCCTCGCACCCCCTAAACTGCAGCCGACGCTTGGGTTTGTCCTGGGACCTTATGTTTTTTACAATGTTTCTTACAAATTTGGTTTAGTTCTGGTTCAGACCTGTTTCAGTTCAGCTACAAAATTGAGTTGGTCCAGTTTTAGATTTGGTTTGACCCTTCACGTGTCTGACTTTTAGTCCCGATGGCCTGCCTTTGTCCTACTTTGGACTGCTATAGATCTTGCTCACAATTTACACATACGATAAATGATAAACATGCTCTTAACCAAACTTTTGAGAGGGCAATGTTAATGCACCAAAGTTGTCCAAGGGTGATTGACTGGATTCAGGCTGTTCTGAGCTTTAAAATGAGGTATGACATATTTGTTTTGGTTCTCATTTGGTGGGGCTGAAGTTGGCTGAATAGCAAATGTTTACTCACCAGATACAAACAAAAGTCACTGTGGTCAAATAAAGTCAGTGACTGGATTCTAGAGGTTCCGAGCTTCACAACAAGGTAGAAACTATAGAAAATGACAAGATGTAGATGTTTTATTGATTTTATACGAGACAAAACATGGACGCTCCTCAGTATCTGCCACGACACGAATAGATACTGTATGTTAACTTTGACCTTGAAGTGGAATAACACTAACTTCTGCTGACTTTTGTAATGACTAGTTCAGTTTTAACATGATTGCAGTCTCATTAAAAATCCATACTACTGTTTCATTTCATTCATTTGTGCTCTCAAACAGACTCTCTGTCATAAACACTGGAGGCAAAGCGAGTTAAGTGTCTTGCCCAATGACCGTAACTGAAGTTACACATGTCTTTGAACTGATGATGCAGTGATTATTAGAGGCTGAAACAGCAGCATATCCATGGACCACACATTTACCAGGTGAAATTACTCCAAATGCTCCTTGCAATTTAATGTGGGAAAAAACTCGATATAGCTCAACCGTGTATCGCTAAACAAAATTTGTGTTAAACAAAAAATTACTTTCCTAATATAAGTAATATGTGTTTTGGAAGAAAAACTGGAAATGGATTTAAGAACGCTTATGCACTAACATTACTGTAATAACATTAGTTATCTTTGAAGTAATGCCTGTTGCTTTTGGGATCTGAGGGGACATCTGGTTTGGACCTGTTCTTGTTATCTATTTGTCAAAACCTTTAATTCAAGTAGGTTCCTGATATCTACAGTCCTGAAAATATTTTCATAAAGATTAAATTGTGTAGTTTCACATTATATTTACAGGGAAGTGTATGGGGCTAAATTGCAGGTGATTACAGAAATTTTCAGAGCAATTGAGTCACAAAAATGAACAAAACAGAATTACCCAAATCATAATCGACTTTGAACCAACAACGACAAATCACTATATGTCCAAACATGTGCATGTACTGCCTTCAGATCTAAATACAAAACTTGCTTCTGCTTCTGCCATCTCATTCTACAAACCAAACCACATCATAATAGCTTCCTTTATAAACCACTTGTATTATTGTGTTAAAATAATGCTACACATTGTTTTCCAAGTGCCCCCTTCTGTTGTCGGGAGCTTGTTTGTCGCATGTATGAGGCCGGTGCGTAGCCGGGGGTGGAATAGGCTTTTTCAATGGCCCCGCGGCATGAATGAAAAGCATGGAGGGAGGGGTGCCTTGTGCCTGTGTAACCGATGCCTCCCTCTGAAGAGATTAGTTTGGGCATTGTTGTTTCGGCTGCTCATTTCCATTGGATTCCACCTCCTGCCGGCTTCAGTGATGCTGTGTTTTGGTGGGAGGGGGTACACAGCCAGACTCCAGAGT